GACATTTGATATTGCTAATGCCTTTGTCGAGAGTGGAAACCCAATTGAAGGAAACTTCTGGCAATTCTTGTGCAGTGGATGGAGGAAAGGCTTGGTAACTTGTCAACTAACTCCAAGGACTGCTAGGAGTAGCAGAATTCCAACGCTTTTGGCTACGAGTAGCATTGTACGTGATTGGGAAGGCTGTGCCTAGGGACTTTGGATGTGCGCTGCATTTATCATGCGTTTGTCCAGCGAATCTCCGGACATGCGTAGCGGATATCCAACGGATGGGCGTAGAATAATCACTTGCTGCCCAAAGTCGCACAAATGAAGTAATGTAACACTGCCGATAGGTCAGTGCCTACCTGCCAAAACTTATGTTGTTCACTCAGCGTTGGCCGCTGGCATCCAGGTAAAGTTGATGGATACGTGATTTCTCGCCCATCGTTTCATAGCGGTTCTTCTATCAACGGACAAGATAAGCCGTCATGCTTATCGTTTTCCCAGCATACGATTCGGAATTTCACTGAACATACGTCCTCCCTGGGAATCCAACCTCTGTTTCTCGTAGTATCATGATGTCATAATTGTGGGTATTTCGGGGGTGAGTCAGAGTCCTCTACGATTCCGGTCAGAAGCTAAAAGAGTCGGGTCGCTTCCCGTAAGCGTCAATACGATTAATTTCTGGAATCGCCACTTACTCCTACGTAAAGCGGACGGGAATATTCGAAACAGGTTTATCGGTCATGTCTGAACGGACCTTCCGCTTTACAATTAGACGCGGAATGTAGGGTAACCCATAAGCCGTAACATTCCAAGAGGACGACGTAAAAAAATTCCATTAACAACACGGAGTGAGATTTCCGAGGAAATGCAGGAATTCTTTTCAGAATATTGGGGAAAATTCAGGTTTACATACTCTGAATTGCACACTTTTACAAGTTGTCAATAAATGGAATTTTCCGGAAATATTTTACAGTGATAGCCTGCACTGGAATGGCATCCAGAAATTCAGCCGGAACTGTCCTATCAGTATGTTTGTGTCTCCCGTTCTTATTTTAGATCTTGAATGAACTCCCGAAACTCCCACTATCGGCGAAACCACCAATTGGCACAAGCAGAAGCTAGAGTTTCAATCCTTCGACTCCATCTGGTGGCAGCGAGGGGAAGCGGTGGAGACAGAATTTCGTTCATGAATCACATGAATGGAATCCCATGATCCTTGGACATGGGGACTCAGAGTTTTCCCCATGGGTCTGGGTACCTTCATCAGCGCTCAGTTTAAGTTTATTCTTTCCCATGGCCGTTTTAAAGGCACAGCTACTAAATGTTTTCAGAACATCAGAAAGAGGTCAGTAACATCAACTTCACCTTTCGCTGCGTATGGAAGCTAAAGTCGAGAATCCAAATAACAGCCGATTGTACAGGGTGAGCCGTAGGTCCCAGGACACTGTTTTAGCTGCCTATAAAATATTTATTCATACCATCTATTTATACTGTTTGCTTGTTTCAGATAAGACAAATAAGACATTAACCAAAATGGGTGATACTAGTCCATCAGTTGATGAACTGAAACAACGCATTCAGGAAGCATTTGCCACCGTAACACATGGTATGTTGCGTCGTTTTCACACTGCACGTGGAGAAGAATTATCTTGTGCCGTGACAACGGCGGACGTCATACTGATGTACTCAATGTCAAAGGATGTATTGTAATTGTTGTATTACTGTAATGTGTAGCGGTAATAATAATTTGAAGTAATATGCAGCAGGAGGAGTGTGTTTTGTACAGAGTACAGAGTTTTGTACAGGACTTATGGCTCACCCTGTAATATTGAATTTGGGACGTCACCTGGGAATTGAGATGGCTGGCGGGGAAAGAGAGTCGGTAGGATGGTCTTGACGCTGCAGCACACTTCACTCCCTGAGCACGATGTGTTCCAGATCTCAGTTCCTGGATCGCACTTACTTGCATATGAGCGAGGAAGGCACACGTGGGTGGATGGACATGAATCTATGGGTAAGGGCGGCTGGCAGCAGAACTCCTCGGAAGGACAGTTTGAAGGAAGCACTGTCTTGCAGAAAGACGACACTTGGATCTTCACGCACTGGTAGGGACATGGACGATCACAGTCCTTCATGTATTCCGAATTCAAGTCTTTCAAATCGGTTCCATTGTGACACTTCCCAGAAATGTTCCTAATAAATTTCTGACCAAGCACCAGCCATGCTATGTTACAATCGCATCGGATAGGATTGCCTGGAATAGGTGCAGGACAAAGAGTGCAATTACGTATGCGAACGAATTGAATAAAAACAGATTCAGCAATGGTGAGAAAGAGTAGAACTCACCGCTTAGAACGAGGGTTCCATTCCCCCTTGAGAGGATTTCCAATATTGGGCGGAAGCTCTTCTCAGGCAATACAGTGATATTGTTTTGGTCCAGAAAAATGTTCGTATTGGGCGAGATACCTGGAATGCAAATCAATAACGTCATGCGATGAACTAACTTGAAACTTCAAGGCTTCTTTCGAGTATGCCACTGATGCGGTGGTTTGCAGCTGGCGCCATGAAGGCATAATAAACGTATCGGAAAGGTTCAGTCACTTTTTCAGGAAATTGCCATGGGCGTGATACAAGATGCCATGAATTTTCTCAATTACTTTTTATTTGGAGTATTCATATAATTCAGGAGAAATACTTATATGTTAACTCTCAAGGGCAAGCTGGTCCCCCAGAGGATTGGCACGAAGTTCAGCATTCTTGACAATTGCAGGTCTCTACGCCTGGTCGTTCTATGTTTGAGCGCCTCTAGGCACATATATTTCTTCCAAATGGATGGTACAGTTAACAATGCCCATATATTTCATCTGACCATGAATGTCTATACATAAAAAATATATTGGCAGCTCTTTGGAAAAATGGCTTTATTTCAAGAAATCACCTTCAATTTTACATAGTGCCAAGTTTATATGACTTTTTATTAGTTGTGATTTTTTTTGGAATATTAAAGAAAACTTCAGAATGGCAGCAGTGATCGCAAAATGTACAATGACAGTTTTGATATGAAAAATGTTCAAAATTTCCAGCATGCAGCGGCAAACTTGGTTCGCCTTTTCATACGATTTCACCACCTGATTGTCAAGGTAAGGAAGCTGTGGAATTTTTTTTTTGGATTTGCCCAAATTCTGACTTTATAGATGAATGACCTTTCCGCATCATATTAATGATACAAGGGCTCTTCAGACAGTAGGTACACTTTACTTACAAGGAGACTTCATAGTAAAATACTTCAGACTTATGTGCGCTAATTTTCATATTATGGGTCTCCTATGTCGCATGAAATGGCCACCAATCTTTTTTTTCTGTGGCTCCTACTGCATGTACCCATGAATGACAGTTCTACATTTCCCCTACCCATCAGTTGAATAACAAAAACCGTTACATCAGCTACTAAGCTATCAAAACTTTATGTCCCAAAAAATTTTCTCCCGAAAAATAGGGTTGATTTTTTTGAGAAAACTATATTTTACTGCACGCTAGCAAATATTAACTAGAAGGTTTATGGCACCTACTAACATGCATCAGCCTTTATTGCTGAGGACCACCATACCTTTTGTTTTCGAGGAATTCATCTCTTTTCCTTGAGAATGCCATGTGACTAAGACATGTCAAAGCAAGAGAGCAAAGCTTCGTGAGGTATCACGACGCAGTGGCCTATAGAGGATGCGCAGGAACACATGCGCGACAAGGTGTGCAATAAAACCTTTGCAAGCGGGGAAAGGTGGGCATTAAAAGTAAGATTGTGTCGTCATCAGAATTCCTGTCTTGAACGGGATTAGGGGGGACACGGAGAGGTGGGGATCTAAGCAGAATGGATTCAAGTGGAGGAAATAGAGAAGTGAAGGAAAAACAAGAACCACGTTTCTTCTGGAACGGATTCCAAGATAAATTAGATTGAGTGAAATACTCAGGGTGTCCATAATTCATATTACAGGTTGAACGTCCTCGAGAACGTTCTTGCGTTACTTGGGGTAGGTTTTACCTTGAAAACATCGTAATATGAGCCTCATTAATTGCATCACCTCGACATATTTCATGATGATGAGGATGCAGTATGCTCAAAAACCCGCGTTTTATCGTGTTTGCCAAGAAATCATACCCGTAATGGCTCCTACTTCCAGTTTGGAGATGCTGTTGGAATTGAGAAACACCTTTTTCAAAGCCTGGCTCTGGAATTCCAGGAGACCTCTTGAAAGGGTGGGACCCAGGTTGCACCCTGGACACCGGAATTCCTCAAGATTCTTCAAGCCCTTGATGACTGCAGACGGGAACTTCACTAGGGGATTGTTCCCTGCATGAAGGTAAAATATATTAGTGACTAAATTACATACTGCACGACCAACTTTCTTCGTGCTTCTCCGAATCAAAGTAAATATGAAGTAGTATGAAACCCTTTTTCAAAGGCTTTTCCCCCTCTTTTCAATCCCACTGCCCATTATGGGACACGCTAACGTTTGGCCTAGGCGAAACCCATGGGTTGTTTCTAAGTCAGATCTAGGCCTATCTCTCTTTGTTTCGAAAGAATCTCAAACCTCAACTTAGGGGGTCAATTAGACATGTTAGGGTGAATCTCGGGGTATTGGGGACATCTCGGTGAGGACACATAACGTTTGGCCGACTGTACTGTAGGCCTATTCCGACTTTCACGAACAATATCAGAGAGGACGTGTAACGTTAGACCTATCTGGAGTTTCTCGCACCATCTCCACGAAGGCGATGGAGGGTATCCCTCCAAAATTCAAATGCATCATGCACTCCATTCTGTCGATCCAGGGAAGTCTGTCCACGATATCTCTATCCCCCCCCTTCCCCCCAAGCACACACATCGATCAGCCACCACTAACCACTGTTTCAGTTTGACCTCATCCCATGAACACAGCTCAAGAAAATATAATGAATTAAAAACAAAAGACTCTGGCACATATATGAACGCAGAAACAGTCATGAACTTGACATGGCTCCAAGACGATATCTGGCAACCGTGTGAGACAAGACTGGAGTCCGCACGTTAAACATAAAAGATCGACAGCTAATTTCATTTTTCATGTGGAAATGCTTCATTGCAAACAAAAAGGGGGCATTTTTCGTGATTTACAACTTAGCATCTTCATTTTAGTTGGAATACGTATTTTCTCGTTCAACACCCCAAGAGAGGCTTCCCAGGAGTGTGGAGAAAAATATATACCGGCTGAAAATTGACATAATTTACTGGAGCGATTCTGTTTTGAGAGGGTAAGAAGCATGCCAAAGTTCGTTCCTCGATATGCACCTAGAGAAGAATACGAAGAGGTTGAAGGAAGGGAATTGGCCCCACCATTGATTCGCGAACGGTGTCACTCGGCCACGATATATCCCACTTCAAAATCAGAAAGAACAATTTTTTCAACTTCGATTGTTATTGTCGAGGGTACGTTTTGTATCGGTTGCATCCCGTCGGATACTAATCCTGACGTTGACTGGAAATTCGGGTCGTATGTCTCGGTTTTCAGGATCCGCTCTGTTCCCCTTTCACACTTTTTTTTCGGAAGGTTTCATGCCAGATCACTGCTCAGCTCAAAATTAGTTTCAGCGTAAAATTGGATGAACTTCCCATCTTCGTCTAACTTTGGTTAACCCTTTTAGCCTTTAAGAGTAGCATGTGCAAGAAACCTACTCTTCTAATTGCAAGTTCTGGTGAAAATTACGGGGAAAAAGGGAAAGCGCTAATTATTGCCACCGATGCTTGAAATTAGTATTTTAAAAAATCCAAGGATTCCAATGCAGGAACTTACGTTGCCATCGGGTATTAGATATAAGAATTACACGCACAATAAAACCGCCGTCTACAGATAGACTGCGAGCATTTTTCGCAATACTTTGTGAAGCCTATAGATAGGCGGCGTGGCACTATAAGGATTAAGACCACTCATACGAGGATAAAATATGAGGATACGAAAGCGAAGTGGGAAAACCTTTTTACTAGATTGAATTTCTTGCGTCAGATGCAGATTGGTGTTCATCACATCCTCAGAGAGGTAACATATTTCGTCTACTAAA